GCCAATATCAAAGTTTAAATTTTCACAGTTGCAGCTCCGACTTTGAAACCACCAAACCACATGTTCCTCACACCATAATAGTGTCTCTCTGATTGTAACAAACCATTTCCTACACGTCTGGGCATCATGCAGTTTTGCTGTTGCTGTTAAGTTGTAAATCGAGTTTTGATCATTGTTGATCAATGTGATTATTTAAATCCTATTATTTCATTTTGGGTGAAGACAAAGATGCAGTCTATAGCATCTATTATTTTTGGCATAAATGTATACAGAATCTGGTTGCCCTTGTTATGTGATTATAACAATAATGAGGAATATTTATTCCGAGTCTAGATAAAAAAAAACTTTACACATTTTACTAAGACTTCCAAAATATATTTCTGAGTTTATTTAAGGCAGTTACTCTGCAAAAGCCTTCAAATTACTATTCCAAATGGCTTTGGATATGTTTTAAGTAAGAAATAAACATGTTGGTCTTACGTTAAACACATACTAAAATAACTTCCAAAATCCCGTTGGAGCTTCTATGCTGATAAAAGGTGATTCACTGACAGATGAACAGCACTTAACTGTAATGCACTTGAAGTTGGCAGTGACAATTCGTGAGCAGCTGAAGAAGGATTTATGGCTCAGGGTTAAATAAAAATGATGAATGATAAACTCCTCATCCATTAGCAGCATCATCATAAAAGTCCTTCGAATGCATTTTGCCCATTGGGGATGAGAAACTGTTGATTCAGATGGGAGGAGCGAGTCGAGGAGTATAAGCAGTCTTTCACAAAAAAACAATATTAACTGCTGCAGTCAGCAGCCCATTATGAACCGTAATGCGTTTCACAGAAACCTATGTAAAGGAGTGCTAGTGTTGGCTGAAATGTACCCAAGGAAACATGGGAAGCTGCATGCTTGGAATCACATTGAGATACAGAGGAAATGTGGATTCGAGAACATGTGCAGGTTAGAGATAACCCGAATTTGTAAGACAAAAGTAAGTGGGCTTGAGCACAACACAGTCACTAGAAAGGATGACGGCCAATGATCAGGAATAATGCAGTTGCAGCGAAGGAAAGGAAAGCACCCATGAGCACATTCACTGTGGAGATGGAGCGATGAAATCAGCGCTTCCGCCGGTGCTAGATGGATTGTTACACAGCATGTCATGAGGGACGGTGATTGAGGTGTGGCTTGATTATGGTTTATAATTATGGTAGTTGAGACATAGCCATCTCTGGTATGGGTGGGCAAAAGAAGACCTGGAAAGTCTAATACATTTACACCTAAACCTTTTCGAGCTGAAATGATGGTCATTACCACACAATAGAATATTTTGTGGTTTGAAACGATTTACATTTTTTATTACATATTTTGGTTCACTCATTTCATTTCTGGAAATGTTTATTCATCAATGGGTTGCTATTACCAAATGTTAAGAATTTTTAATAAAAAATTTGTGTCAATTAATTATATAGCTTTGTATTTTTGGACTTGCATAATGCGCTTCATTCTATAATTTGGACTCTTCTGGACAAAATTTTATTATAGATATTCAAGGATGGTTCCAATTGTTTGGAATGTTGTTATTACTAAAGCCTCTCCCTATATGTGGTGCATTTTTAACTTTCAAACACTGTGGTATTTTCGAATATCTCGTCTTTCACTTTGTACATCATATAATGAAAGATAGAACAACGTTACGAGCAATTTTTTTTTAAAATAACAAGTCATTTTAATTTTTGAAATACGACCCTTTCAGTTACAATTTTGTAAGCCAACGTTAAATAATACGTTTAACTTGATAACCGTACTTGTTTTTTTAAAATCCCAATCGTACAATACATTGTAGAAAACCCCCCAACTAAATTCCATTTGCAGACAATCCCACAAAGGGCTTATCCCTGTGCAGCAGCATTTTATGCAGTACATAAATTAGTACATTAATTACAAGCATGTGTAATGAGCGACTTCCGCAACACATCGTGTAGAAGGTACTTCTTTTATTTCTCACACTGGGCACAACACAGGCCAACGTTATTCGTCTCACTCTGAGCACAACTCTTAGATATTAACGTCTCTACTGGCTACACACAACCGATCACTCGGCGTGGTCCCACCACTCAAATACATCGCTGGCTGACGGCGTGACGATGACGGCGATGGAAACCATGCAGGAGATCTTCCACGTGGCCGAACGACGGAGAGATGCCGGCGAGCAACGACGCAGCCAGGACCCAAGGATCCACACACGAACCCCGAGCCCCAGGTCCGCTCCCCCTTATATCCCCCCAGGCGTGGCTAGGCCCCGCCTCCAGCCACGCCCTCTCATGGAACCTTCGAGCAGGTTCGCAGCATCTCTGCTAACCCCACCTGTTACCTTTGCCCCAGATACCTCTCCTTCTCTGATTGGTTGTTACTCTAACCGTGCCCGTAAAAATGCTTCCCTTTCCCGGCCAGCAGATGTCACCATGTCATTACACATGTAAAAAGTGGTCGTTAAGTACATCTTTTTAAAAATAATTTTGGAATCTGTACTGGTCATACAATAAACAGAACTTCACCTGTATTACCTGCCAAACTTGAATTATATCTACCGCAATTCTAACTTGCAATGTAATATGGAGATATTATATACTCATGCTCTCTGTAGCTTTGTCGCCAGATGAGGCGTATAGTACATGAAGTGCTGAGTCACTGTTGGGTCTGCTGTTTTTGCTAGCAACCAATCGTTCCTCTTGCATCAACATAAGCAGAACACCAACTCCAAGATTGCACAGTATAATTAAGTTATTGCCTCATGAACATTGTTTCGTCTTCAAACCTTTCTATGTTAAACATTGTATAATGTACTACACACTTGCCATATTATTACAGTTTCACCCCAAGCGGGATGAAAAGCCAGCATCAAGGATAGATACCACCATACCCTCAGAGTGGCAGGTAGCAGTAGACCTGACCTAGACAACATAGCTGACCTGAGCATATTTTATTAACATGGGGAACTTGACCTGTTCTCTGTAAACAAGCACTCACCGACACTCACAGTTCCACACAGGGTGAAAACCCTCGGCCACGCCAGATTACAAACTCGAGTGGAAATTGACTGTGGGTAAAAAATATTTGGCTCTGCATTTCTCGATTTAAACATGTTGGGAACATTCTGAAAGCACAAATATGGTATATTTGTACAACAACCTTAGAACATTATGAACAAATTAATGGAAATCAACGTACCAATGTGCCTAAATAACGTTGTCATCACTGTTTATTACTGACAACATGGATCTTAAACATAGACGTGACTTAAAAAATGGAACAAAAGATGAAAAGTGCACAATGGAACATGGTGAGGTCCATGCTTGAGTCTATAATGAGAACGAAAGAGGTACACAAGACACACTCAGGTTAGAGACATCATATTGTGTGCTTGGGCAGAACACATCACTAGAAGGGATGACGGCTGTTGGTCGAGACTAACAATGGGGTGGCAGCCAAAGAAGGGAACACACCTCTCAAATGATGTCCACCAAATATGGTGCAATTAATTCATTTTGCCTGTCGGAGCTAGATGGTTGCATCGCAAGACAATGACACGGTGACAGCTTTGGGAGGCCTTCATCCATCAATGGATTGATCAAGGTTAATGATTATGAATATTCTCAGTCTTCACAAAACAACACAGACCTTCCCAATCAGATTTAGATATTTTTCATGTTTAAATGTACTGTACAGTCATTGCATTTTTTTTACATTCAAAGTTTTGTCCCCTGCCTTTTCTCATGAAAATAAAGTGTGTAATTGAACAAAGATGAAGCTCCAACTGAATGGAGCAGAAACTCAGTCTCGTAAAGTAGCAGCTATCTTCTTGCCAACTCCAGGGCAATGCTGCAAACAATCACGCGCGTTATATATTGTGTAAAAAACCATGTTTAGATAAAGAACAAGTTGTACGGCTGTGGTTTTAGGAAGGATGTTGTTTTAGGGTAGTACCGTTCACCGTTAGTCCCAATGGTGGGAGCCGCGAACTGAAACTACAGTAGATTATGATGAAATATTGACCAACGCTTATTTTAGCCGATAGCATGCGTCACTTATTCAAGTGTGAATCTGTTAATTATATTCACACATTGCTTGGGGGATAATCAAATCCTAAATAGCGTACCTGTTTTCTCGTAAATGGGGAAATAGGACATTTGTAACGATATTCTTAGCTCTTTCAGTAAAGTCACGTTGAATGGGAAACAATAAAGTAATAAAATATATATAAAACAATAAAAATTCTCACGACGTTTCGACCATAACGCAAACGGTCATCATCAGGTGTGAAAAACCAACGGCAAGAAACATTTGAAAGAAGTGGTGGTTTTTCAAATGTTTCTTGCCATTGTTTTTTCACACCTGATGATGACCGTTTGCGTTATGGTCGAAACGTCGTGAGAATTTTTATTGTTTTATATATATTAACAGGTCCCTGCAGGGTGGGCTGGTAGGAACATTGGAATTTTGCGCAATTTTATTTTTACACCCCAACAGCACGAGATTTCACTTCGTTAAAGTATTGAAAGGGGACGGACGGACGGACACATTCATCTATTGCAGGCTGGTACACTCAGTTTACAACTTCGTTCCTACCAGTATTATTGTTTCCCTTCAACGTGACTTTACCGAAAGAGCTAAGAATATGAATTACTGCAGTCACGAAAGCTTTAAATCATTAAATTTGTAACGATGTTTCATTTGGTAATTCCAAATTGTGGTCACTTTCAAAAACACTTTAATACAATAACTTTGCAAGGTGTCAAATTATAAAATGTTTACCAAACTGTATTTTGTTTGTTCCAGTTATTTTGGTGTTGTGCAATGCAATGCAATACAGGATTTAACATCCCTTTAAAAGATATCAAAAGCTGATATAACCGTGATTTATAAATGTGTATCAACGTGTCCTGTTCACATGTAGATAGTCCGAAATAAACTTAAGACTAAAATTCAACAAAATGCAGAGGAAAGGAACGATTTAATTTTTTATTGATGTTTACATGACCTTTTAAAGTATTTCAACGTAATTCAACATTAACACAAATCAATTTGTGATGTATATTTGTCACAATAATATTATCTTCTAAATATAAACTTAATTGAAATACATTGTTACAGTACTTTAACATGACGGAAAACGTACTTTATTATTTTTTTGTCCAAGAATAATGGGCAGTGCCTGGGAACTGTCTGCTTTTATAGTTTAATGAATGCTTTTGAAAGCTGGGCTATGGACAGTGAAAAGTGTTGTTATTCCTCCAAGGAAGGCTAGGGTGACTCATTATTCTTTGGCTCCTGCTGCCCATTATGCCTTGCACTCACTTGAAATGGATACAATCGTCAGAAATAGAATGAATTGTCCCAAATTGACTTTTTTCACCCACATTAAAACTTTTTTTTTACATGTCTGTGCTAACATTCTTGTGGGAAAATTACATTTCAGGACAATGATGTATAATTGATTTATAGGCTACAGTGTACAATAGTTTGTATCAAATATATATTTTTTGTGACTGGTTAAGCATCGTCTTGGTAATCAAAGATAACAATTTTATCCTGTGGATTTAAAAATTATATATATAGATCCTTTAAAACTGCACAAAGGCATTTGACAATATTGTTTTTACATGACCGAAACGAGGCAACGGTTTCACGTGGTACTGGCCAGGGCACAACGTATCTGCTACCACGCACACCTGCGACCTTTAAGAGTCTTGTGGTTTCACCCTTGGATGGCTGTGCTGCAATAATTCTGTACCCCATCTGGTTTTCATCTTCAGACTTGCTGATCATCTGAAACCAACGATGGCTTAAAGAGGTTGGGTCAGGGCATCATTGTTTTGCTTTAAGTCATGTGGTCACCTTAACTGCATGCTGACCGAATGTTTTATGCAAGTAGTAACCTACTGTATTTGAATAGTTTTGAAATAATCACGTTTTAAATAAAATATTAAAAGCTTGTTTCTTCAATTGTAAAACTGTTCGATATAGGATTTAGAGTTGGATTAACACGTGCTTATTAAACTAATGCCCGCTGTCCAGGGAAGCCTGAGTTTTAAGACAGAGTATTATATTTAGATATTTGACTAATTTTTCATTAATCAGTATTTGGCACGTGTGAGGAAACCAGAGCACCTGGAGACAACCCATGCATGAGGGGATAACACTTAAAACTCAATACCGGATTCATGAATCATATGCTTTACTGCCATCTGGCCTTCGCACAGCCAGTTTGGGAGCTTTGACAAATCTGTGTGACCTATCAAATCCTTGTCCCAAAAATGCTGGATTACAGCCATGTGCAGTTGAAGTACACCAGCCCAAGTCTCCTTTTTACAACCATAACCGACTGTGATAGGAACATTTAATATTTAAAACAAGTTATGGCTAAATGGCACATGAGAGCTTCATAGATTAAGAAAATTAAGCTTCCAAGTTTTTGACATAACTCTCCGACAGATGTTTTATTTACGCGAAAAAATACATCCACCCTTATTCACATAAAGGCAATAATAGTGTACATCTTATTTTGCAAGTATTGATTTTGGCACAACAGTGATGTGAATGTATTTTCATAGGTTTATATGGCCAAAAACACATTTCCTCAGACTTATTTCCAAGCATGTGCGCAAGCACATTTATAATTTCATCTTTAAGGGAAGATATTTGCAGCCATCAACGCTTGCAATCACATGGTGACTACAGTGGGGCACAAAATTTTGTTTAAGGTTGAGATAGTATTTCCACCCAGAATTTGGCCAGGGCAAACTCATCAGATCTTGGAAAGTAACCAGAATTGAGCCTGCATCGTGCATGGATGGGTCACTACCAAGCTCAAGAGACAGATGTATTCGTCATTGTGGGCAGCAGAGGGCAATGCAGAAAAAGACATTATTCTGCCTTTCCCTCCAATATTCAACCCGTACTGACCAGTGTGGTGACACATGGTGAAATATTCCTCATGACCCTGATCCAGCAGTCTGGCTGATTACGGACTGCACATATACAGTATATCCACCAACCAGTAATAAACAAGCGACAATAACAATGGTTACCAAGACAACTTTTTAAAATATATAATGCAAAAGACTAAGTATCACGTGCACCAAGCCAGACTCCATTCTCAGAAGTGCCGGGTTGGCTTGCCCGCCCGGTGTTGAAGGCGCTTTATAAAGTGCGCATGGCTTCGTGCTCACCATACAAATATGCCCAACGAATTTATCCTGAAAAGCATTTCAAATTAATTTTTGACCTTTGTAGGACTTTCAATAGGCATGCTGTCTTGCGTGAAATATAATTATTTGGTCCTAATGTGTAATTTTTGTTTACAAAGAAATCATTATTTGTTGAAGTGTTGCGGAAACAAAGACAAACGCACGGTGCTTCATTGCAATATCTTTGCGTGTACACGTGCTGCCACCTTCTGAATAGTGTTCAGAAGTCCCTTGCGCTGTTCTTTAAAAATCATCACTGCATTGTGCAACTTGCGATTTGATACCTTGTCACGATTTGGGATCGCAATGCCTCGGTGATTGACTCTTGTGTTCTCAATATTTCCTGTGTATTATTACGCTTTCTTTACTGCTTTATTTGTCGTTTTATTTGCTCTATTAGCCTCAATGCAGTATATAATTACCACATTGCTTGCATGCATTTGCATACATCATAAACAATCGATTCCCGCACGCGTGACTTCACTCACAAATTGAGCTTTAAGAATAAATATTGATCCATCAATAAATGCATCGTTAAAAGCCTAATATTATAGAAAACTGGCATCAACGTCGCTGAACGTCGGGGGGGGGGGGAAGTACGTTTTATCATCACTCCTACACCTCACCAATGTCGCGTGACGTCATAACCCCCCTCACCACTCCCGCATTTCTTGACGTCATTACTCCGTCGTCTACCTCACCCGTGCCGCGTGACGTCACACCCCCCTCCCCTTTCCTCACAAACGCACCTCAATCCAGCGTGGCGTCATCACCCTTCTGCTTCCAACTCACCAGTGTCGCGTGACGTCACCACCCAGCCCCGTCTCCTCCGTTATCATCTCCTCACTACCTTCAATTTATCGGGACGTCAACACCCTTCACCCACTCCTCACATCACCCCAGTGTCACTGATGTTATCAGCCCCTCCCCTCCAAAACCCCAGTCTCTCTGAGGTTACCCTCCCCTACACTCCAATAGTCCAGTGTCTGTGAGATTATCATCCCCTTCCATCCACCTCACCAGGGTGGCTACCCCTCCCCACTCAGACAAACAAGCACATTGTTCCACACTATGGAAGATGTGGATACTTTCTGCATACATGGGAGTCCAGTTTGTGACTGTGGTGCGACATCTCGGACCGTGCAACCGCTCGAGAACGCCTGCCCAATCAGATCATTCAACGGCGATCTGAAAGAAAACAAATTCCACGCAGCTACTCCTAAAGCAGTCGCATGGACATGAGACCTGGACATTAATTTGTAATCTGTTGCAATCTACAAAAATGCCATACGAAAGAAGAGAAGACATCGACATATTCTACCGTACTGGAACAGGAACTCCATTATTAAAACCAGTCAACCACATTTTTAGCGTGAAGCTGTGAAGATTCACATTAATTTTATTAAGTCAACAAAACACGGTTGGCTACGTGAGGTGTGAAATAAGTTCAACATAAATATCACACCCACAACGTTGAGCTCAAGTGAAAAACGTAAATTTTGTTTTAAATGTGTTAAGCAAGTGCATTTTTACAAACTACTTGCGATTAAAATACTTGGTACATATTTATAACAGTACATATTTAGTGCAAAAGTATATCCAGGCATGCCACGTAATAATGTACAACCATTTTTTATTGTAAACTGATGTAAAACGCTTAAAATGTGTTTTGCTTGCTAATTAAGTACAGTAATTACAGTACGGCACATAGCGAGCAATGTTAACCCAATGAGATTGGATTTTGTCATGGAAAACATGTTCTCTGTGCTACAAAGATTACGTTTTCATTAGCTTTGTGCTGTAATGCCCTCTTGATGCACATGCTCAGTGATGTAAGCCACAAGAGCGTCACGGATCACCACCGCTTCGTGGTTCTCGTGACCCTCACATTGGCTTGCCTTTGGTTGTGGTTGCTGATGCTGCATATCCTTCACCTCCTCTTGCCATGTGGTAAGAAAGTCATCGGACTGCTCTTCACACAAGTTGTGCAGAACGCAGCAGGTGGCCACCACCGTGGGCATGAACATATGGTGCACATCAGAGCGCTTCAAGAGAATTCTCCAGCGACCTTTGAGCTTGACAAAGGCTTGTTCCACTTTAACGAGGATGGCGTTGATGTGAGTGTTGTACACTTCCCTCTCATTGCTCAAGTGTTTTTCTGCGTAGATTTTCATTAGCCAAGGGAGCAGCGGAAATGCTGGTTCACCAACGATCATGAGTGGGACATCCACACCTTTCATGTCTATGGTGGCTTTGGGCAAACGATCAGGATTCTTATACAAATCTGACATGTGGAATGCTGTAGCGTGGTGAGTGTTTCCTGGAACGCCAACATAGATGTTTCGGAACCTCAAGGACAGAAAGAGACTTATTATGTTAGAGACATCTCTTCAAATTTAACTGCGGGTCAAAATATGCAAACTGATGGTGAATAAATGACAACTTGGAGCTATCATTATTTAACTTTCATAACCAGTGCACTTTTAAACGCACATAATGCAGTCCGACTGATTAGTCATTTATGCTGTGTTACTCCAGTTGATTTAAATGTGTTTTTGAACTGTAACATATTTAACATATGCCAACATTTGTGGTTAATTACCTCCTGAATTCAGCTGCAGTCAACACTACTTGGACAAAGGTCATCCTTAACCCAGCTGTGCCCCCTATGGGAATATTTTGGAAACGTAGCATAAACCAAGTTCTCGTATAATAACCATGTAGGCAACGCACACAATGTGCAATGCTCACAACAAATTAATAAATTTTCATGGTTTTGGATCACATCGATACAAAACTTATGTATTTACTGTCTCGTGTTTTTACCATCTAATTTGTAATGTTTCTATCTCCAATGTTTCTATCTTGAGTACATCAGCCCAAATATATAAGCATTTTACTTGCATATATTGTCAAAATAATCAAATTCTTACATGGACAAACTGATGCATCTATCTTGAGCCGTACGAATCTATATTAACCCGTGGATAATATAACTTGAGCTATACACGGTCCATTCAAACATTGCATCTCACCTGAGCGTGTCGTCCACAATGGTCTGCAGGATGATGGAGGGCCACTGGTTCCTGTTGGCGTAGTCCCTGGAGCCCAGCCTGGGTGCGAGCACTGGGATGTGTGTGCTGCCAATGCAGCCAAAGACCTGTGGCAGGACATGCTGCTTGCAGAAGCGCTCAGATATGGCACGTGCCTCTTCCAGGGCCGGAAGATGCACGCTGTGTCGCAGCAGGAGGTGACACACACACCTGCAACATAGGTAGATGAGAGCATGACGAGGACAGTGGCTTGCGCAGCTAGAATTGTTGCCGTTCATTCATTCGTTTAAACAAAAACTCGTTTAAACAACATTCAAAATTCACACATGTACAGCAACTTTCAACGTAATACTAAACCGAGTTGAAGGCTGTGTGAGGAGTGTAATAATACATGCATGATCACGTAATAATTTAAGTATAAAAAACGTCATCAACACTAAATATTAATCAATGTTACATTTCAGGAGTCGAAACAATTGAATTGCCACTTTTGCTCGTAGGATTGCGATCGTGGCATCGTCAGGACTTCGATGCTTACGACCAGCGTGATGGTACAACTACCACTTCCATATTAACCACCAAGATGGTTAATGTTACCCAATCACTTACACATTTACCACCAAGATGGTTAATGTTACCTAATCACCTACACATTTACCACCAAGATGGCGACTGTTACCAAAGCAACCACTCACACATGTACCACCACAGTGATTAACGTTACCACGGCAACCACTTCCGAATGTACCACCACAGTGATTAACGTTACCACAGCAACCACTTACACATGTATCACCAAGGTGATTAACGTTACCACAACAACCACTTCACCAAGGTGATTAACGTTACCACAGCAACCACTCACGCATGTACCACCAAGGTGATTAACGTTACCACAGCAACCACTTCCGAGTGTACCACCACAGTGATTAACGTTACTACAGCAACCACTCACGCATGTACCACCAAGGTGATTAACGTTACCATGGTAACCACTTCCGAGTGTACCACCACAGTGATTAACGTTACCACAGCAACCACTTACACATGTATCACCAAGGTGATTAACGTTACCACAGCAACCACTTCCGAGTGTACCACCACGGTGATTAACGTTACCACAGCAACCACTTCCGAGTGTACCACCAAGGTGATTAACGTTACCACAGCAACCACTTCCGAGTGTATCACCAAGGTGATTAACGTTACCACAGCAACCACTTCCGAATGTACCACCACAGTGATTAACGTTATCACAGCAACCACTTAAACATGTACCAAGGTGATCAACGTTATCACAGCAACCACTTAAACATATACCATGGTCATTAACGTTACCACGGCAACCACTTAAACATGTACCAAGGTGATTAACGTTACCACGGCAACCACTTAAACATGTACCAAGGTGATTAACGTTACCACGGCAACCACTTAAACATGTACCATGGTGATCAACGTTACCACGGCAACCACTTCCGAATGTACCACAAAAGGTGGCCACGGGTCTGACCCCTCCTGCACTACCGCCAACCCCCCCGGCCTTCCACCCTTTCTTTCTTGGTTCGTGTTTGTTTTTGTTTCTTGTGGTTGCACCCGATTCAAGAGCCGAACGGCTCACAGGGCTATACCAAAATAAAATAAATAAAATAAATAAACTAAATACATATCCCGTTCCCCGAAGGGGCCGGCACCCCCAGCTGCACCTGCACACGCGGTAGAGGTATCGGTGCACCGTGGTCTTGCTGACGCCGAACAGCTCGCCCACGACGCGGTACTCGGCGCCCGTGGCGAGCTTGAAGAGCGCGATGGCGACCCGCTTGCGCGTGTCCACGGGCTTGCGGACGAAGGCGGCGGCGGCGGCGGGCGCGACGTCGGCGGCGACGAGCGAGCAGAGGCGCTCGAAGGTGGCGCGGCGCATGCGGAACTCGCGCAGCCAGTCGGCGTCGGCGAAGCGCTCCTGCACCACGCACTCCCACCACTGCTGGCTCTGCGGCGCCATCCAGAAGCGCCGGCGGGGCCTGAGCGCGGCGCGGGCCCGCGCGAACAGCGAGCGGCACATTCGCAGGTGCTGCAGGTGCAGCAACAGCCGGCGCCGTCGCCTGCGCTGCCGGAGGAGATGCAGCAGCTGGTGGCAGCCGAGCAGCAGAGCGACGAGGAGCTGCTGGGAGTCGTGGTTGGAGGAGCGGGCGACGTTGAGTGTGGCGGTGGTGGCGGTGGTGGTGCCGCCGCTTCGACCATCATCACCACCACCACCAACAACAACTTCGCCGTTGATACTGATAGTGCTCATCATGTTGGTGGTTGTCATTGGTGATGTTGGTCGTGGAGGGGGTTGGTGATTGTGTGCGTGTGGTTGGTGGTAATGTTGCTGGAGTTGATGTCGGCGCTGTTCATGCGTTGTTGTTGTTGGTGATGCTGCTGCTGCTGGCGGTGTTGATATTGGTACAGTTACCACGGGATGGGCGATTGTCGATCCGAGAAGAATCGAGTTCCGATTCCACAAACCGCCAAGTTGTGGAATCGATTCCATTTTTTGAGAACAGGATGCGGTCGATTCCAAATCAGTTCAACGGAGGTTTTGATTGACCATACTTCACCACGCCGGTCAAAGCGAATTGGCTTCGATTGACCATACTTCACCACGCCGGTCATAGTTCATAGTTCCATTTATTTGGTATAGCCCTGTGAGCCACTCGGCTCTTGAATCGGGTGCAACCGCAACAAACAAAAACATGAACAAGAAAACATCTTAAAGTGACTATGTGTGACTGTGCAAACAGAAAATCCAGGGAAAAAAACATCAAAATATTCCTGAAATTGCACCGTACACCAACGTTGTGTGCAAAAATCCCAGTGGGATGCAAGTCAAACAACAACCACAAGACAACTAAGATTAAGGCCATCAATCTAACTCCGTACTACAATTAACAAAAACATGACCATACTTCACCACGCCAGCCAAAGCGAATTGAACACACAGCTAATGCATACACGCTTTCAACCTACGATTTAAAAAAAACGTTAAATTATATTGGGAAGCGGTGTTCATTCCAGAGATCATATGCAAGATCCCAATATGATTACTAAATATTTCGATTATTTTGCTGCTGGAAATTTCCACACACGATAAGACACTTCGTTAAGCTATCATTTGTGGCCAGATCGCTTCTGAAAAATAAGCCAATTAGCTCAGTTGGATTTACCTGGTAACATTAAAAAAAGTTTAGTTTTATTTGCATATATATTTTTCAGTTGTTTGTTTACCTTTCTTATACTTTGCACTAATATCGTGTGTTGTATCGTTTGTTGTTGTGACGTTCTGACCCCGTGCCTCTACTGGACATCTGTGAAAAATAGATTAATAGCGCTTTGGTTTTCATCCAGTACACGGACTCCTCTACTTATGAACAAGTTCGGTTCCAGAGGTCTGTTCGTAAGTTTAACTTGACTCCTGTCGATTTAAAACATGTTGTACGGCATGTACACTAACCAGAGGGAATGGCTTTAAAAGTTGTATAATCTGATGTAGATGCCACTGGTTCTTCATGTTTTGCAGATGTAGGCCATGGTACGCAACTTAATTTTGTTTATGCATCCGGCGGTGGACTATCTGCTTAAACACGTTAATATTGTGAATGCTTGATCGTTTCTGTGTAGATTAAATATCGTCGGTTCTATAGGATTCGGGGGTGGTGGTGGGGGGTGTAAAACGTACGCGTGGGTATAGGGAGGGGGGGGAGAGGGGTTAAATTGACAGATTTTTGCGTACGTACTAAATGGATGGCCCCGAACAGGTTTTTACGTATCTCTGAAAGTTCGTAAGTCGAGTGTTCGTAAGTAGAAGAGTCCCGCACAAATAAAATATCCTGACGGCTAGAGGTAAAAACCCTCTCATCTGGCAAGCCCCACCCCTCCCCACTCCTCCCCACCCCAGGCTACTGCCCGCCCCTCCCCGTGGGTGGCAACACGGCCGAGTCCCCCCGCCCACCCAACGGTCGCGACCCCGGCGGGCCAATCAGAGGGCTCCACCCACCGCTGACCAATCAGCGGGCGGCGGTGGGGGCGGTGTCCTCCCACGTTCGTGCGTTCGAATCTTAGCCCGGGGATCGCTTGTTGACGCTTACCGGCGGTGTCGTCGCGGCCTTGAGGTTCTTCACAGCTCGCCCATACACACACACATCTCCTTTTGTTCTTTTTGTGGTTCTTTCGCCGGGCCGGGGGGCTTGCGAGCGCCATGACGAGTGATCTCGGGGAGGACGGTAACGGCTGGGAGCTGAGCAAGGAGAACGTGCGGCTCCTGCCCGGGGGGAGGTCTGCGGCGGCCATCAACGACGCCTTCCTCAAGCAGGAGGCGACGGACGGCGCAGAGCAGCTGCGCCGGCAGAAAATGTGAGTGTCTTTCACGTCGGCTCGGCGGTGTTATAGCCGTCAAAGTTTGCGAAGGTGGGTGGCGTAAAGCTAAAACTATACGCTTTGTTTCACCTTCTAACCGGGTAAGGCCCCACTGACATTTATAGCAGCCAAACACGAAGGGCGTGATGTTGATTTTTTTGAATGTGGAGGGACCTCTCCCCCCCCCGAAGACCCGGAGAAAAATACACATGACCACGTGGACAAATAACATACAAACTGCAAATATACAGGGGTCGGGATCGAACCCACAACCTCCTGTGGACCAGGCGAGGTAGTTAACATCTCGCCCCAGCGGTGTAGCTGCATTGGAACCAACCACGGGCCATATTATCGGCAGACGATTGCCCACAAAGAGCGGTCGCACAATGGATTATTATTCCACGGCAACTCGTGCTGCTAATCACGATTCACCACTTGTCAGGGCTGCCGGATTTTTTGTTATAAATTGCACAAACCGTTGGTGAGAAGAGTCCACAAATGCCCAGTTTGTCAGTATACCGTTTTAATGTGCTTGACACAAACGGTGCTGGTTGCGTAGTTTGTAGCTTTTTAACCAAATCATCCGTAACGTGCCCCATCTCGGAAGATGTATAAAATGGGTTGAATGTAGATTATGATTGAATGGGCGACCGTAACAGATGTGGTGGCCAGCAGAGGGCAGTGTAGCAAAATGAATCAACATTTAATCCCCCCGCCCCCACCTTCAACGCCCACCGATCAGTGGTGAAGTATGGTCAAATATCCTCACGTTCGTTGTGGTGACATGACCGCCGCTTGGTGCCATAGGTTCGCGATTAGAACTTCTGGTGTATTAACCATAAAATACGTGCCGTCTGCTTTTTAGTGGACGTTAAAGACCTCGTGACTTTGCTCGAAGAGCACTGTTCCGACGTCATGGTACAAATTTAGAAAAAAATACCCAGAAACTACTCCGTTTCGATGATACAATTTGGATTATACATTGCCCCCTACTTCGTAAACTTGTCAGGACTTTCCTCAAATAAACTCTGCAAGGCATTCCTGCGTCAACAAGCGGAGTAATAATACGAAACGTGTATTACATTGCGTGGGGAGGCTGTCATCCAGCAGTGGATTTGGAAAAAAGGGGTCCTACACGTGAAATTATACTTGGTAATTATGTTAATACAGAAGACTTAAACAATTGCAAACATTTAGTGTTTCAGCAAATTTTGCATTGTTTCTTTATTGTAGAGTCAGCATGTGGGAGTCGAATTCACTTCGAGACTCGTTACATGCGTATTATTTACTCCGCCGCTTGACAATTTTTGCCGATTATCCCGTGACCTTTCAATGCATCCCAGAAATATTCCACCTTGCATTACTGGGACAGGCATCAACTGTGCCCTGCTCCCTTGAAAGCTAATTGCTCATGGACACCACTTGCTTTTGAGACTCTTTCCTGATATCCAGGCCCCAAAATTGAGCACTTTGACCCTGAGACTGTCACTCGAACCCAGACAGCATGCTACTTGTGCTCGGTTCTGTTCTAAAATGTTTGCCTCAAAATTAAAACATTACTAATTGCAATAATTTCGCCTTCACTGAACGTTATCATGTGATTATTGGTTCTAAATTGTATGCATTATTAAACGTTGAAAACACTAATGAAGTTCGTATGTTTTCTAGAGCTTTTGAAACGGAGATTCGGCTGTATTCTGGTGAAGATCCTTTGGACGTCTGGGATAGGTAGGGTTTGGTAACGTCTTTGGAATGAGAGTACAGTATATTCCTGTTTAAAATGTGTCAGCATGTGCTGTAATGTAGTATATATTTTTTATGAAATAGTGTACTTTACTTTGTTATTGTCATTACATTTTTATTAAACCCTTATGGTTGCTGAGTGGTCACTAAGATTTTCACTTTCAAGAAATGTTTACACTGCTGCTGTTAAAGGCAGTTACAGTGAATGTCGATATGGATATGCTTTCTGATGATTAAATATGGCATGTTGTGATCTCAGGTATGTGAACTGGACAGTGCAGATGTTTCCTCAGGAAGGCAAAGGCAGCTGTTTGTCTGAACTGCTCGAGCAAGTCATTGACCGGTTTAAAGATGAAGCCATTTATCACAACGATATGCGTTTTGTTGGACATTGCCTAAAATTTGTAAGTACATTTCGCTAATCGCAATATTGTTCTAATTTAAAGACCAAGTTTTGTATTCGTTCATAAGTTATTTTACTCTTGCATATGCAACAGGATGCCCAAAAAGTCTGCATTGATATTGGGGGGGCCATGTCACATCCTATATCCTGCGGCACACCACGTAAATTAGTCTTAAAATCTTTTTTTTTAATGGGTTGTGTTGCAGATTATGGGAGGAAAAGAGCAGCAGCGTGATCCCATTAATCTGCGAATACTTTGCAAAAAGTTACGGGTAAAATTCACATGTAACAAATTTGCCATAGGTCTATTTGAAAGGATTTGAGTATTTTTGAGTTTATATTCCTTGAAATCCACGTCACCAAAATTCAAAATCCTTTTCTTATCAACAGATCACGTCAACACAGCTCGTCTGTGACTAAAGCAATGGTTTTTTCCCAAATTCAAATGTTTACATTATACCTCTAGCAGCAGCTCTAATTCTCCAGCTGTGCTTGGTCTGCAGTTTTTCTCTTTGCATCTTTGTCTCCACAAATCCCCTTTGTTACAAAAAAGCACTCTTTTATGAAGCCTTAGAGCCTTTCGTAAAATACAAATGTAAGCTTGAATACTGTAGCAGAAAAAACAGCCTTGAAGGGAAAGTGTTTTGTTGCACAAGGCAAATACGTGTATCTGGGCAAGGCTCGAATAGTGGATTTTTTTAAGGGGTGGTGAATAGCCCACTGCGCTTAAGAAAAGTCAGCATTGTGTACTTAAAAAATTTCGAATAATGGTATTCTGATAATGCCAAGTTTTCTAAATATACATGTATTGGTTTTGTGCCCCTGTTGCATGTGACAATACTGTACTCTAAATATGTTTCAGTGAGCATTAATACTGTATAAAATGAAGTGGTGTTTTGTTTTCTCAGGCCTCTTCTCTTCTGGAACCCATTGACCTGTACAACTACATGTATTCTGTTGGCATTGGAAAAAACCTTGCCAGATTTTACATTTCATGGGCTACCGAGTATGAAATGCAAGAAAACTACAAGCAAGCATCTAATGTTATCACCAATGGAATCCAGCAAAATGCTCAGCCACTGGACAAGTTGCATTGTTATCAAAGGTTGACCGAATTATATTTCTTATTTTTGA